GTTTGGCAGCCTGAGCACAGAATCTATTCATCTAGTGTTTGCTTGTGAAAAAGAGATTTTTTACGTCTTCAGAAAACAAGAGCATAAGAATACTTAGGTAGGTAGATTAGCAAGAGTAAGGCTTCCCATGAAATCCATTGAAATTAGTGGAAATATTTCTATTGACTTCCCTGGGGTTTGGATTAGCTCTTTAATGCTCCAGTATTAATTATTTTTTAACACAGTCATTCTTGGAAAGTTATTGCTGTGATTCACTGGTTCTTTGCTTGGCACATGGAGTTACTGATTGACATTGTGCTACTGCACTTGGTACTAAGGTTAAAACAGTATGGTTTCTTTGGTATGTGTAGAGAGAAATAATAACTACTGCAAGCTATGCCTCAACATAATCTTTGCTGTCATGTGACATGCCTTGCCCACCATCAGTCCATATTTACAAAACCAGTGGTCCAACCAATGTTTACAGAATTAGCTCAGGCCAGCTTTTCACTTACCCGTAGGAATTTACAAAGTAGCTGAAAATAGTTGGGACTCTTATTTCTAGTCTCAACGTATTTTGTTGTGAAAACAACCAAATGTGGGATCAGTTCAAGTTTCCCAGCTTTATGCTGATGTGTCATTTGCTTTAGAAGTTTGGGTACCCTGGGGTGTTAAACCAGGATCACAAGACTTTCTGTCCAACGTTACTTTTTTGGTACTGGTTTCAACTGTTATTGCTACGAGTTCTAGCTGTAACTACACTTTTTCATCCCTGCATCTTAATGTTTTCAAGTTTTGTAGCTGAAAAGAGTACACTTTAGGACATGTCACAAGTACCAGGGATTTGTTGACATTTTATCTCCAACTTTCCCATATTTTTGCATCTGATACCTGGCTACTTCACACCTGAGCACATGTATCTATCATGTTTTCTTTTAACCATCCCTGCTGTTGCACAACTATGCTGTCCTGCCTCCTCTTGCATCACCATAATGCCACAACAGAGTCGGTTTTGAGAGACAAAAGACTTCAGAGAGATCAAAGCCCTATCTGTATCAGATAGATGAGCGCAGTCTGTGCAGCATTCAGATTGCAGACAGATAGTCAAGGCCAGGCTTTCAAAGATGCTGAGTTTACTTGCATATTTGCAACAGAGGTGTGGCAAATTTACTGATAACCACTAACCTAAGTACTTGTTTTGTTTGGATCACCTTAATAGTCCTGCACACTTTTTGGTGTCTTGCTTATTTTCTCATGAATCTGTTGTCTGCCTCCACCCTACAGCTCTCAAGTCCCATCGTCTTGACCTTTCCTTTCCCAAAGGACTCTGCAAAGGGAGTGCCTGGTGATCCCCACCTACTGTAGCTATGATTTACTGCCACACTCACCATGCCCAAGAGTTATTTTGCACCAGCAGATTTTGAGCCATGTGTTAAACTAGGTCATAATTTCTCTACAGTGGTCATGCCTCCAAAATGGGAGACCGCTTCTAGAAATGAGAAGAGAGGTGCATTTACACATGCATCACCTGTAAGTGACTTTGTTTCTTTAGGAGAGGAAATCCACTGTTTTCACACAGCTAAGGCACACAGTCTGTTTCATAGCAGAATTATTTTTCAAGGGTGTTCTTCCTTCTCATATTTTACAACCTTTGATTGCACATCCAGAGCTTTGGCTTCCTCTCCAAGCAGCTGCCTTGCCAAGGCATTTGAATTGTGACAGTTTCTGAGCTGGAATTTCCAATGTTTGAAATAAGGAACTGGGCTACAACCATTCACCAAAAGCCTTTGTGTAGTCGTGATTTGTAAGAACCACGAACGTGGGACAAACATGAGTTCAAGTTCTGGGGGCAGAAGGGCTATTCAGTATACCCAACAAATATTCATATTGCTTGATGATTTTTAAGGGAGCATTTAACACATAATGGCTGACAAATAGCTGAGATCAAGTCCTTCAAGAATGACCAAAAGATTCTCACTGCTGTATGTTGTGTCAACAGGGATCATGGATTTTATAGATCTAACGGAGTAACTACAGTCACATTCAAAGAGCTGTAGCAATTCGCTTGACTGTTTCAGCGAACACTTAAAATACCCCCCCCCCCCCCCCCCCCCCCCCCGCCCCGTTCAAACTCCTCAGGTGATTAATTGGAAACAACCCAGTTGCAGTATTGTCAAAGGTCTGACTAACACCCATCAAACCCAGGAAACTGGGACTTCTTGAGCACTCCCCTGCTTACCTCGTGCTGTTGTGCTTAAGGTATTACTGGGGTCTACAAAAAGTGCACGGTCATATATACTGTACCATATGTTCACAAATACCAACACACAGCAGCATGAATTAAGGATAGGATTTCAGCCTTCATAATGAAGAGTCTTGCTTTTATGAGTTCAAGTCAGACCCTTAACGTTATTTTAACATAGATTTTGGTGTTTAATTATGTAATAAGATTTACTGCAGTCATCTAACAGATGTTGATTCAGGGTCAGTGTTTCTCATAAATTAGTTCTGAAAGGATTTGTTACTTCTGGGTCAGCAGATAGGTCCAGAGTGCAAAGAAAAAGGGGAAAAACAATAAACACAGAGTTGAAGGGTTTCTTGGGATTCTTTCTTGAGTTACATATCCACATATTTTCATGATCTTAATGACTATAGCCACAGGAATGTTTGCTTTAACACTAAAGATGGCTCAGCCCAAAACCCTATATCCAAACATCTGCAAAGTATGGGAAAGTTCAAACTTTGGGGCTCTTTATTTTATGACCCTGGCCGTTAATTTTTCATACTAATATGACACATTTTTTCTAGGGCTCTGCAGTGGGAATCACTGTGAACTCTAGCAGCACCTGAAAAAGTTTCATCTTCATGTGTTTGTTGTCAGACTTTGTGTATAAAGTGCAGCTAAAGACCGGTGTTGGCCGGTGTAGTTGTCATCACATGTGTACACTGAAAAGGTGCACCCACCTTCCTTTGAAAACTCAGCCTTCCCGTGTCTTTGGGAGCAAATCATACTGGGACACCCAACTGCTAGACCTCTCTATAATACACCCTGCTGGTGATGTTATCCATAATATAACTAAAACCACACAACATTATGTTCATTCTTCTATAGTTGTGGTTAAAGGAGCTATTCCATATTAAAATATTTTTTCCTTCCCTCTATAATTTAGGTGCAGACAAATTCCTTTGAGACTGAAATCATACTCTTTATATCTTATCCTGCTGAGAATACTTTGGCGGAAGGGGATTGAGGCACATTTAATAGAGTTGCTAGCATTTATAGGGCAGTTTTAGCCTGCCAATTGTTTTGCAAACACTGGTGAATATTCGCAATATTCCCCCACTTCAGGGTACGAGAGATTGAGTGATCTTCCTGCGGCCGTATGAAATGTTATAGCTAGAGGTGCAAAAATAACTTTGTTCATTCAGTGCACGCTAAGACCGCTCAACGTGCAAAACCATTTGCTGAACTTAATCGCCTTTGTCTTGGAAAGTTTAGGGGTTTCATACCTCAACAACTCCTCTAAGATGAATCCCAGCTATTCGGAGGAGCTCTGAAGTATTTCCCTGAACAGCAATCACACAGTGGCAAACTGCGAGCCCTGGACTCCTTGCAGAAGTAATGTGCGAGAGGAGGAAGAGCCCGTGGCCAGCTGCTGAATCTCGGCCAGCAAAGCAGCGCTGAACCTGCTCTGTGTAAGCGCTTGGACACAGCCCGGTTGCCGGAGGCTCCCCACGCTCCGTCCCTGCCACAGGGGAGGCCCTTGTGAGTGCTGATATACATTTGTACAGTGCAGTACTATAAATTTAAATAGCACTTTCCAAACTCGGGCTTGAAACTCCTCTTTTTCAGGAGTAATTCCATTTAAGTCAATGGATTTACACAATGGATTTACCGCTGCCAGAAGAGAATCAGGCCTGTAGAAAGACACACATTCTTTGCCAAGAAAATCTCAGAGCTAACTACTTGAATTGTGCAGTTGAGCTGCAGGGAGGTCAAGTGGACAGATGACGGGACTGGGACATACGGGAAGTCCCTGGTTCAAACCTCAGCTCTTAAAATGTCACGCGGTGTGACCTCTGTCGAGTCAGTTCATCCCCTTATACCTCTGTTTCCCCATTTTCCTTTGTCTAACTTGTCTATTTAATTTGGAATTTGTTCCAAGAAGGGTGCTTCACTTCATGTGTTGGGATGGAGCACGGACACCTCGCCTTCCCCTTGCTGGAGGACAGTCTCGAAGTCTTTGTTTCCCCACAACACTGACCCTCAGCTTCAATATCCACAAGCAGTGTCACGCGAGACCATCAGTTGTCCATCAGAAGACAGGCAGACCTGTCACTTGGTGGGATAACGTGTTGTCCTAACACTGTCTTGGGAGGACTCTGGCACTTGTTATTTCACAGTCAGGGTTGGGAGGTGGAAGAAGGTCATTGCTTTGAGCATTTGCTTCACAGCCCTGATCACTAAAGATGCTTTAAAATGAAAGCTTTGACCCTTCGGAGTGGGTCTGTGAGCTTGTGATGTATTCAGCTGGCACCAAATGTGGGTCACTGGCATGAAAAGCCTCAAGGACTGGAATTTGTGTATATATGTGTGCGGGTATGCGTGTGCGTGCATAATTTTCAGAAGCAGAGTCAGGCCAAGAACCAGCACTCCTGAAAAGCCCCATCTGTTTCTTTCAGCTCCTTCCCACAGCAGCTCGGTCGTTATCAGTGGCAAATGTCCAGAGTCGCTTGTCAAGCATGAAGCTGCCAAAAATCATTAAAACACAACGGTCACCCACACCCTGTACCAGCCAGCTGTAAAACTGTTTCAAAGAGAGTCTGATAAACACGTATATGCTTATAATAGCCCAGATAGAGTCATGTATTTCCTACGTGCTTTAATGAACCGAACAACAGCATGAGATGCTGCAATCAGATATTCTTGCCCTTTTCTGTTGTGGCAACTCAAAAGCTTGTTTGACGGTGAGGCGAAAGGGAACAAAGCAGGTGGCTAATGGGCTGTTTTTCTGTTTCAGTGGAGCATGACAGAGAGTTTCACCATCAGCGCTGCCACTACCGAGAGTTCAGGTTTGATCTCTCCAGAATCCCAGAGGGGGAAGCGGTGACGGCTGCCGAGTTCAGGATATATAAGGATTACATCCGCGAACGCTTCGATAATGAAACGTTCCAGATTAGTGTCTACCAGGTACTCCAGGAGCACCCGGGAAGGTGAGTGACCCACAGTGAAATGCCAATGAAAGCACAAGCAGAGTACGTTCCTTCAGAGAACTATGTCTAATACTTTTAGGAATATTGGTGCCGTCAGCAAAAGTGTCTGAAGAGGTGGCTTTGGGCATCAGGGTTGTACACTGAAATCTCAGTCGACGCCAATGCAGTGGGCACGTAGCTGCCACGTGTGGTCAGCCACCGAGGGCATGGGGAGAAGGTGCCCTGTGAGCCTCCGCACACTCAGTAGCTGAGGAGCCAACAAGCCTAGCCATGTGCTAGTGCGGGGAAAGATCATAAACTGAGAGTATTTCCAGGTTTCTGGGAGACCTACTCTCTTCCTCCTGCCGCTTATGGATCCTGAGGTGGCAAAACCACATCCGAATGCTTCCTTCCTAATTGTAGCTTAATTACTAGCCTTTATTACCAAAGGCATTCGAGATCCCTAATTAACAGAGACAGATGACACCATGCTTTTTATATTGACTGATTGTTTTGCATGTGCAAAACTACAAGATGAGCTATTAAATCCATTCCAAGCAATTATTAATGTATGCAAAGCTCCCTGACAAATCCTCCAGGGAACTTGAATAAGAACATATGTTCAATTTTCTCATCTGTTTTTAGTTCCAATTAATCAGCAATCCCAAACCATTTATCAAAGGCACTTAGTTTCATTTGCGCATATTTCTTTTACATACAAATCCTACCAAAAGTGAGATTGCATTTATTTATATGAAAAATATTTACAGTCATATGCAAGTCAGACTACTAAATGTGGGGTAATAATACTACAGCCCTAATTTAGGTTTATGAAAAGAGAAATGCTAGGGATTTAAAAAGGGGAAAGTCCAAAAAGTAAGAAAAAAAAAATAGTGTAATCAGGACTCTGGCTTTATATTTTTATAAGAGCTAATAAAAATGCAGAAAAAAAAATTGAAATATGACAGGAAACCTTATCAACATTTTTAAATGGTGACAATTTCTACCGGCTTTGCTGTATGGTGAAAGTATTTAACCACTGGTGTGTTTTCTTTCACATCTGAAATTCTGAGTTTATGGCTTAAAACTCATGGTTCTCTTGGCATTTCTAATGACAGAATAATTTGCAGGATTTGGGGACTATGCTAATATTAATCTATTTTCAAAGAGTGATAAGTCAAACTATACATTTTAACCAGGCTTTCTTAAAGGAGAAGGCAACAAACCACAAATGTGCACAGGACCCATTAGATGTCCTGGTTGCCATAAGCATTTATTAGATCTTAGGCCCTTCCACAGATAGAAGCCTCCCTTTGCTGTATTTCTTGAGTAGGTTATTTAGGTACAAGCCTGCAGGGATGACTTTTCATTCTTGGGAAGAGCAGAAACAAGACGTGTTGGCAGATGAAGGGCCCCTAACCCGTGTGCCAGGGCATTAGGGAATTGCCAGAAACCTGTTCTTGAAGTAAATGTCCTTCCTCACCTGATGCCAGGGAAGTTCTTCTTCAGATCCTGATGAGTGAGGTAGGTGCCCACTAGGAATCTTACTGACAAAGTTAGGATGACATTTATTACCTTAATTTTATGATGATACATCCACAGGTTTGTTAAAACTATGTTGAGAGAGGGCTGTAAGGTACCTACTGAGAATAGTTATGTGTGGAGCAGCAAGTGTTTCTGCAAAGCGTCTCCTTCACAAAGTCTTATTCCTAAAGGAAAAAATGTACGCAAAGGGCAGGCATATACATGAACCACTGGCTGGAAGAGGTGAGGAATCTTGCTAATTATACAGATGTTCCAGCTACAAGATTAGATGCAGTTTTACTGCATCACAGTCACCACAGGAACACTATTTTTAACGAGTGTTCCTGCATATTCACCCTTTGCATACATTTTGGCACAGGCAATGGTGAATTATGAACAGTTTGTCCTGAAAAAAATATTCCTGTTGGTTTGGATTGACCAAAGGTAAAAATATTGTCACTAACATTTGTAAAAATATTTGCTCTTTTTCTGCATTTTTCCACTGACATTTTCCAACCGGCTCTGTCACAGACCAGTCATCCAAGTCGGTGTGTCATTGGGCAAGTGGAGAAAGAAAACAAACTCTCTCCAATGTTGATCAAAAAACACCCATTCACTTTGATGCTTCCTTGGCTGTTTGTCTCACCCTGAGCAGGCTGGAAAGTCAGACCCATCTGACGTTGTTAGCAACAAGAGCAAAACAAAGCCAAACCCTCCCCCCCACGCAGGCAAGAAAACCTTTGCTCGCGTTTGACTTTGTAGATTCCTCTCCCTAGAGCCCGGCAGGTACAATGGCCAACAAAAACCCAAATGGTTTTCCTGCTCCCTGCGCTCTTGCGATGACAATACAAGAGCAGCGGGTTCTCCCAGGAGATCGCTGGAATTGCCTTTCAGGTTCTGAAAGAGCAGGTATTCTCCAGGTCCGTGCCCCCCCCGCTACGTGCGCGCCGTTTAAGCGCGCCAATGCGCAGAAGCTCAGCGCCAGGCTCCCCAGAGGCAGCTGCAGCATCGTCTCTCCTTTGTAACACGGCTACACGCAGCAGAGATCAGGACAGCTTCTAGGGCCGCAAAACCAGCACGGGATGCAGCTGGAAAGCCCAAGCTGAGGCTGACTGGAGATTTTTTTCCTTTGAGGGTGAAGAGATCGTCAGATACGCTGAAGGCTTGGGTTTCAGTTAAACCTCAGATGAGCCTCCAGTTTGGAGGGTGTGATGGTGTGCCCTCAGTTCAAATAAACCATAAGTATGAGCAGTTCAACAATTAATGACTTGCTTTACGAGTTCAGACAGGCTGGCAGGTATCTAACCAGCAACATCTCTTGTCTGCAATTTATTGTCGGTGAAAAATACAGGCATAGGTCTTTCCAGACAAACAGCAGCACCCACAGCAGGCTATTTCTGAAATCCTGCCCCTGAATAGTACCAACATTTGAACACAGGGTGGAAGCTCTCTGCCATCTACCTGCTCAGTCATGGACAGATAGACACCTAACAACCCTGGCAGTAAAGATGAGAGCCCAGCCCTGACCTTTGTAGCAGACGGGGTGCCACTCTGGCCTTTGACTTATAGAAATTATATCTCTGTCAGACTGAAGATATTATTACAGGTGTTTATAAGAAACCAGACTGAATGATCAAATATTCTTTCTGGCCTTTCCAAATCTATGAATTAATTGCAAGGCAAGCTTTTCAAACTGGCAACATCTCCTTTATAAAAAGGCACGTACCGCATTCTTTAGGCACAAAGCATCAGTTATTCACTTTAAGCAAACAAGTACATTCATGAAAAAAAATGTTCCTAGTATCATAAACACTGCAAAAACAGTTGATGTTTTGACTAATATAACGTGTCTCAAAGCTTTGGCATACATAACTTTAAGTCCAGTGACTCATGTCCAACTTCTGTTTGGTCTTCATGGTTCACTCACCCAAAAGCCTGGGAAAGAGTTTTATAAAGCCAGTGACTGGCTTGAGAAGGGTGCCGAGCAGCAGGACATCAAGTCCCTGTTTGTGGTCACAAACCCTGCTAGTGGGAACTAAAGGTTGCCATCAGGGAGCCGGGTGCTGCTCAAGCCTCTGTCTCCCCTCTCCTGGGTGCTGCGGAAAAGCGAAGCAGATTCCAGTGCTAGGGAGCACACATCACAGGGCACAAGGCTTGCTACAAGGTGTTGAAGGTCGTTTATCTGGGGCATCTACACAGGGAACATGTCAAAATAAAGCTTATGGACATGAGCCTGAGAAAAATGAACTTCGATACTTTTACAGTGGAGTCATGAAATAGTTTGTGAATTACTTTGCAAAAGAAATATCCATTACCCTTAGACTCTCCACTATTGTTGTAAGCAATGGCCAAAGCAAGAATGTCAAAGGGACTTAAGTGCTGAAGAGACACACAGGTATGTAGTGGGATTTCTAACAACGGCCAAGCAGGTTGGATACCTAACTCCTATTGCAATTGATAGCAACTTGTGTATTTTCAAAAAGTGCCCATGCAGTTCTGGGGCAGATTATCAGTCGGGGCATCATCCTCAGCTTATTAACCTGAAGCTGCAGAAAAAACGCAGACTGTATAGCTCCCGTCAACATCAGAGCTCAATCCTGCCCATCTGTCTGCACCTTCAGAAGCTAAAATACCTTGTCCCAGAGTTACATCTCCAATTTCATTGAACCCAGCGCTTGCACTGTGGAGTAAATCCCAACCCCTTTGAAGTCGATGGGAGTTTTGTTACTGGAAAGAATAAAGCCAGGTACTTGACCAGCCTTTGGTAATTGAAATGTAGTTGCTACATGTTCACTTTGTGGCCATTATGGATTTCACAGGCTTCAAAGGCAGTGAATGATTTGAATGCTCATGTTACTAGCCCTACAGAAAAATAAGATCTCGCACGATGCATTCCTGGGTTTGACTTGCAGCTGGAACGCTTTAGTTTGTGCTTCAAACTACACCACTTCTGCACCCAGATCAAACCTGAGCCCCTCTCCAGACCCCTTTCTCCCATTCATTGGAGTCTGTTTCCATGTTGTGGGTTGAAACATGTAATTCTAGTAACTAAGAAAGGCTTAGGCCCACCCAACCCATGAAGCAGATGTGCCTTCTTTTTGGAGCTTTTTTAAGTACCAGTGTGATCGTTCTAGAGATGGTGCAGCAAAGGGCATAGTTTGTTTTAACATTGTGCCCCAGGTATCTGCAAGTACTAACAGCATCTAGAAAGATACTGACAATAGCTTTGATTTTTTTTTTTGGTGACTTATCTGCAAGTCAGTTGATAACTGTACTCATCTCTTAGCAAGTAGCAAGGGAACTTCAGCATGGAAACCCTGTAGCTCTCCAAGAACAGAGCTGTATCTAGTTATCTTTTTCAGACCATTCCTAAAAGCCACTGCAGCCTGCAAAACCTCTGAAAAATCTTGAACTCACTTATCAAGGCACAACTCTTCACAGGCACTTGAGTAGCCGCAGGAGGCATTTTGCATACCCCAGTGGGCTCTTGCTCAGCT